CACTAGAATCGAGTTTTGCTCTCATTAGAGCTCGTCAGTAGTGCATATTATCGTCACTGCCGGGACTTAAACCACAGACACGTTGTTCATGAGGCAACCGTGTTTACCACTGCGCTATTGACCTCACGTTAGGCACGACCGAATTATCGTGTGTGAACACTCAACCACTTTCGCTTGTGAATAATGATCAGGAATAAGCAGTTGGTTGCTGAAGGCACGACCAATCTGAACGTAGATTGAGCCTTAGCAAGAGTGTGGGGCAAACAGGCGGCCTTGGCGTGTATATAACAGGCATCTTAAAGTATTCGCTTATGCCAACTTTTCATGTTTCACTTGATTGTTGTAATAAGCTATCATATAGGAGAAATATTCACATGTGTCTACTAATTGAAATTAATTTCTTAATGGTATTATAACATAATGGATAAATCAGCCGTTAACTCCAGTTTTCTCCTATTACCTCTGGCTCCCTTTGTCGAAACTGACAATTCGTAATGTCTGAGACCAAAATTTCTACGGGCAACAGGACTGGGAAATTATTTCAACACGTCTTGAAAATCAAATGCGTCACTAATCTAATTACGGATCAATTGGAAGTTTAACTGTTTTTCGAGCGTTATGATTTTATGAACTAGACTAGATTGCTCATGGTAATCCCCTTCCAGGCAATTATGAAACTCTTCTAAGGTGGTTTGTGCACTAGCATTTTGCATGTTCGTGGAGTATTGTGCTAATCAGGACCGTGACTGAACAGAGTAGTGAAGGCTGTGACAACTTTACAATAGGCAGTTTCAACGCATGTAGGGTACACAATTCGTTCGGGCGCCTACAACGGTAGCCGGAAGAAATCTACCCCACTGTTAGTCATTTGCTATAAAAGTTAACCGAAATTACACCCATACTTTACGAATGATACGTATTCAGCTTCTAGCGAAGGAAATTTGAAGGCAGTTGTTTGGATGTATGAGAGTTCTGGAGTTTAGGTGAGGGATGAGAAAAATTTTACCACTCAGAACGAACGACATAAACGACATAAACAGCGCGGGAAAGGTCAGAACAACGTGGTTGGTTCGGTCAATTGTTGTTGCTGTACGCAGTTTGTATAAAATTTGCTAGTTTTCCGTTAGCAACTGATGGGAGTTAATCGAAATGTTAACATCTTGCAATATATGTCTTCTCTCCGTTTTGACTAAATGGATAAAGGAAACTCAGTGTTATAAGCAGCAAGGTCTGAAGCTTGCTGAACTACATATGGTACATCCTATAGCATTTATGAAGAGCAACACTTACACCGCAAATTATGTTTTCGTGGATGTTGCACAAAACAACCGTCAACGGGTTAGCTGCATCCTAATACTGATATTTCTGCAAACGTGAAGACAACCAGGTAAAACTACGACCAGCACAATGGAGATTTACTAGAGATAGTGGTGAATGGAAATGTGGACAGTAAGGTATTCAATGAAATTGTTGAGCTGAAATTTTGAGAGAGTTATACTCAAATGGAAACGTGACCTACCAGCGTTATTCAAAAACCGTGTCGTAGTTTAAGTGTCATTTGAAATTTGTATTCTATTCAATGTAAATGACTGTTCGGCTATTGAAAAAGCACAGTTGAGTGACAGTTGTTCCGCAGTAAATGCTTTTCGATTCGGGTTAAGAACTCTGATGTAAAGTTCTTTAAAAGTACCCTCGCGATTCCAAAATGTTTCGGGGCACGACCAAGAAGCCAGTGCACCCTAAAATAAAACAATTTTGGGTGAAAAAGCCAAATTTCAATCAAAAGGGCCAGCTGTTGAGTGTAAAGCATGGCGCAGTTTGTTATGATCCGTTAAAAAGTTTACGGACTTAAATTTTGTCAGAATGTTCACAGGTATTAGAACTTACAAGGAGTAACACTTTGTATACGAGCAAGCGCCGGCAGAAGTCGAGCCCTTTCTGAAATAACATGGTACAACTCATCCTGTATTGTTTAGCAGGAGAATTTAATGCACCCACACAAGTGTCTGCAATTTACAACAAACAAAAACCCTCCTGGGACAGTTTTTAATGCGAAGGTCAATAAAAATGCTTGATAATAATTTCTCAGTTTGAAAGGTTACCGGCTAAATGTGTGCATGACTATTATGTCCGTACGCAGACAAATGTGTTATGTAAACAGTAAAAACGTGAACAGCCTGAAAACTGTTAAACTGGGTTAGTGAACGTTTGTAATCGTAGACTGTGGGGACGATAACAGTTGTCAACGTTACTCCAGAACAGTGTAACAGTTCACTTGTTGCCCACAGTTTGCATTCTTATAATTATGAAGGATACTCTACTTAAGCCAGTTAGGCTAGAAGTGTATAGCAGCAAATGTTTTCAATCTTCACTTAATAATTCTGATGTTAGTTCTGTCGTAAACTCAGTATATTGAACGACTTGCAAAGTAGGACGATGGAGTGCGTGTAGTTTGATACTAAACTTAGAGTGTATCATGAAGGTGGCTACAAACACATCTGTAATGATGGGACGTTTACAATGATATTATGCAAGTCACTGGTTATACAAAGAAATGTTTCACTTCTCATTCACAAGTTTTTGGTTCGGAGTGTACTTAGGTCGAAGTCGTTGAGGCTACTGGATATCAGTGTATGCTAAATGGCCATTTCCCAGAATATGAACGACCTTCCATCACACGCATGAACAGTTCAAAGAATGTATTCTTTATTAGGCATACAAACGTCATTCTACATCTTTTGTAAAACTCACAATATGGTATCACTGATGAGTAGTCGGGGATTTGGTTTATTTCGGTTTGAACAGCACCCACAATTGATCGCAGCTGTCGCATTCCCATAGACCATCCAGTCGGTTACCTTTCGAAAAGAAACACTAGAATCGAGTTTCGCTCTCATTAGAGCTCGTCAGTAGTGCATATTATCGTCACTGCCGGGACTTGAACCACGGACACATTGTTCATGAGGCAACCGTGCTTACCACTGCGCCAGTGACCCCACGTTAGGCACGACCGAATTATCGTATGTGAACTCTCAACCACTTTCGCTTGTAAACACGGTTGCCTCATGAACAATGTGTCCGTGGTTCAAGTCCCGGCAGTGACGATAATATGCACTACTGACGAGCTCTAATGAGAGCGAAACTCGAGTCTAATGGTTTCTTTCGAAAGAGGCCGACAGGATAGTCTATGGGAATGTGACAGCTG